ACGTTCGGGAATCTGTGTAAACTTGAAAGCACGAAATTATTCCTTTTTATCCCCCGCAACGCGTTTTGCGGGGGGTATTAAAATGGACTCCGTCCGTCCGTCCGTCCGTCTGTCCGTGCACATTTGTCTTTTCCGGAGTAGAACTCTAAAACCGTTCAATATTTCTTCACCAAATTTGGCACATACATGGATCTGGTGGTGTACTGGTGCCTTTTGGTAGTTTTGGAATTCTGAATTAAATATTTTTGGCATTTCCATGGCAACAAGTTCGACTTTGACTGAAATTGGTGGTAGTGCTCTTTTCCGGAGCAGAACTCTAAAACCTTTCACTATTTCATCCCCAAACTTGGCACATAGATAGATCTGGTGGTGTACTGGTGCCTTTTGGTAGTTTTGGAATTCTGAATAAAACATTTTTGGCGTTTCCATGGCAACAAGTTTGACTTTGCCTGAAATTGTGGTAGTGCTCTTTTCCGGAGCAGAACTCTAAAACTGTTCACTATTTCTTCACCAAACTTGGCACATAGATAGATCTGGTGGTGTTCTTGTGCCTTTTGGTAGTTTTGGAATTCTGAATAAAATATTTTTGTCATTTCCATGGCAACAAGTTTGACTCAGACTGAAATTGGTGATAGTGCTCCTTTCTGGAGCAGAACTTTCAAAACCTTTCAATACTCTCCTTCCACTTTTCTATATACACACCTCAATATTTGACATAATCATACCTCGTAGACATAATCATGAAGAGTATTTTGCCTTTGCAGGGAATATTGATGACTTTGTCTTCTTGTTAAGTTTGATTTGATAATTTGCGGCAGGGATTATGTCACCTTAGTGACAATGCTTGTTTTTTTGCTCCATATATACTTCATAAATTGCCAGAAGTAAAATTCTTTTAATATTTAGAAGGAATATATTACTTTGACTGGTGGTTATTATTTTATTTTATTTTTTCCCTACTGCCTTTAGGTTTTCTGAGGAAAAAAATCTGTAAAACAAGAAATAAAATTGATCTGGGCTAATTAAAAAAAATAATCATGTAAACCTGTGAGAGCTGTATTTCATGTACACTATCGTGGCTGCAAGAATAAATCAGCTACTTTTGTCCTGGACCCATAAACTTTATTCCACAAACTATGTTATACTTAGTCAAAAAAGAAACTTCACATTCTTTCTTCAGGGAACTATAAAAGAACAAGGGATGGTAAGATGGTTAAATTGTTATTATTTCATTGCTGAGATCTGGGTGATGTACTCGATACACTGACAGTGCCATAATCAGTTCCATTAGGCTACACCGCCGTTCCAAAACATGTGAATACAGAATGTCAAGTCACAAGAATAAAAATGCGAAATGTCTCAGTTCAATATCATGTATGGCCGCCCCGTGCATTCACCACTGCCAAACACCGTCTCTTCATCGACTGCCTGATGCTTGTGAACACGTGGTTGGGGATTCTGGCCATTGCTCTTGCAAGGCAGCGCCAAGTTCCTGCAAATTCTGAGGTTGGTTCCTAAGACCACGAAGCCTTCTCCCAAGTGCATCCCAAACGTGCTCTATTGGATTAAGGTCAGGGGACCTCGATGGCCAGTCCATGACGTTGATTCCAGCGTTTTGAGGAAATTTCATGTCAACATCGCGGTATGCGGCCGAGCATTATCATGCTGGAACTGTAGACCTGGGCCATGCGCCACCAAGAAAGGAACGAGTTCAGAGGTGAGCACCTGGTCGCGGTAAGAAGCAGCTGTGAGGTTTCCACGGATGACCAGAAGTTGGGAACGGTTGTTCCCACAGAAAGCACCCCACACCATGCAACTTCCGCCCCCGAATCTGTCGACTTCCTGTACACAACATTGGGCATACCGTTCATGATGTCGTCTCCAGACTCAATGCCTGCCGTCCGCGAATCTGAGGGTAAACCTGGATTCATCGCTAAAGACGACTCGATTCCAGTCTCTCTGGGTCCATCGGAGGTGACGTTGGGCCCACAGCAGACGTTGACGTTGATGAAACGTCAATATTAGCCCACGATATGGACGTCGAGAATGGAGATTGGCAGCCCGCAACCGATTTCGAATGGTCTGTGAGGACAGTCGACCTCTGAACATCTCAGCCCTGGTTCGTGTAGCCAGCAGAAACCTGTCACGTAGGTGACGTAGGACGATTTGACGGTCTTCTGCTTGTGACATCACACGTGGACGACCCGACCTTGGGCGATCAGAAGTGGTGCCAGTTTGTTGTAGACGACCTCGCAAGTCATACACAGTACGACGGCTGCATCCCATTGCTCTTGCGACGTCAATAACTGATCTTCCCGTTTGCAACATGCAAATGGCACGTTCACGTCGCACATTTGACAATCGTGGCATTTCAAGTACCGTTAGAACTGTGGTTTAAAAGTGGTTTTCAATTCTTGAGGCCAATGCAAACACGTGCATATGAAGAAAACTTCGATGCAAAGATCACGTGATCGACTGCACGTGCAAAACCTGATTTGGCACTAATGTCATTTGCACGCCAAATGGATGGGTTTGAGTGGGTTTGGCTGACGTTTTTCTAGAGTCGAAAGATAGGGATCCCATTTCGGATACATAGCTGCATCATCAGAGAAAAAATATTCATTAATTTTCAAATTACATTTTGTGAAGTTTCTTTTTTGACTCGGTATATTATCAAAAACAGGACTTCTTGTTCTGCACATTGGCATTCATGATGCCCACGCCCATGTTATGCTGTGAGACTGAAAGTGTCATCAATGAACAGTTTGATGGGGTGCAAAATAGGTTTTGAATCATTTGAGTTGCTCAGATTCATTGCATTTTCCCTAAATGAATTATAGCGAGTATTTTTTAAACTTTTTATTCCTGATGCTAGGGCACATTGAAAGTATTTCATCGATGCCATTTCAGTTTTTCCTGTGCCATGTCATGCAGATTAAGCACTGATCCCTGAATGGTAATTAAACAATAAGCCATTGTGAAAAGGAGCTTTAGTAAAATAATGCAACAGGTAGACCCACAAAGGTGCAAGAGGTAATATTGAAAAACAAGCTATGAATGACCAGTCAGTAACACCCAAACGTGACTAAAACACAATAACAAATGATGCTAACTAAATTGAAAGCAGTTTTATGCAGTTGTCAATGGTTGTACACATCAAAGGCTGATAATAATAGATACAGAAATATGAAAAGCAGTAGTTATGGAAATATCTATGCTTTACCTCCATCCCAAATGTTTATGTTGCAAGCAGAAAATCAAGAGCAGATAACTATGTTGGTTACTACTACTGAAGTATGGGATATTGAAGATAAGAAGCAAGATGTCTTTGGCGTACAGGGGCCTTGTTTGTTGTTGTGTGGTAAATTTGCTAGGTCCACAAGCACTTCAGTGGAAAAGTCTTTTACTTTGTCTGTTTTTGTGTGCAAAAACTGCAGAAGCTCTGCACATTATTTGCAAGTTTAGCGAAACTTAATATCCCTTTCTTGGAACTTGTTTGTTTTATGGTCTCAAGGCATTGGCAGGATACATGCCTTTACCTTTAAACATGGCCTAGAATATTTGTGGAGATTTATATTTTAATTATATTCATGGTAGTACTCCATTCCTCCTTGAATCTCAAAACTGGAACATTGCAAGATCAATTGAACAGGGACAAATAAACACTTAATATAGATTATCCATTGACAAATAATTGTCTATATTACCAGCCTCTTTTTATCCCACCGGCATGTAATGCGGTGGGATATAGTCGTCGCCTCGTCCGTCCGTCTGTCCGTCCGTCCGTCCGTCTGTCTGTCCGTCATAACTCAAAGACCGTTCGATATTTTTTAACCAAAATTGGTAGATTTGTCAAACATAACCTAAGGTGGTGCCTTTTGCTATTTACAGATTATTGTCATTTTTATTTTTCTCGGTTTCCATGGAAACGTTTTGGACTTAGTCTTAAAGAAGGGTGGGCTTAGTTTCCGGAGCATAACTCAAGAACCGTTCAGTATTTTTTAACAAAACTTGGTAGATATATCAAACAGATCCTAAAGTGGTGCCTTTTGCTATTTGCAGATTTTTGGCATTTTTATTTTTCCCCGTTTCCATGGAAACGATTCGGACTTAGTCCCAAAAGTGAGGGGTGGGCTTCGTTTCCGGAGCATAACTCAAGAACCGTTCAGTATTTTTTAACAAAACTTGGTAGATATATGAAACAGAACCTTGAGTGGTGCCTTTTGGTATTTGCAGATTTTTGTCATTTTTATTTTTCCTGGTTTCCATGGAAACATTTTGGACTTAGTCTCAAAAAGTAAGGATTGCTTTCGTTTCCGGAGCACAACTCAAAAACCGTAAAATATTTTTCTACAAAACTTGGTAGATATATCAAACAGATCCTAAAGTTGTGCCTTTTGCTATTTGCAGATTTTTGGCATTTTTATTTTTCCCGGTTTCCATGGAAACGATTCGGACTTAGTCCCAAAAGTGAGGGGTGGGCTTCGTTTCCGGAGCACAACTCAAATACTTCTCTATATCTTTCAGCAAAACTTGGCAGATATGTGAGGCAGATCCCAAAGTGGTGCCTTTTGCTATTTGCAGATATTTGTGATTTATTGTTTTCTCGGTTTCCATGGAAATGATTCGGACTTAGTCTCAAAAAGGAAGGGATTGGTTTCATTTCCGGAGCACAACTGGAAAACTTCTAAATATCTTTCACCACAACTTTGCAGATATGTGAGGCAGAAGCCAAAGTGGTGCCTTTTGCTATTTGCAGATTTTTGTCATTTATTTTTTTCATGATTTCCATGGAAACGATTTGCACTCAGACTAAAATCAAGCTGGACTTTAAGTAACTGTCAGATGATTTGTTCTTTCAAAGATGTGGAGGCCGGGGGGATATGTCATCTTCTGATGACTCTTGTTTCTATTGTTTGCATTGCCAGTCTTTTTTGCAGATTTGACGTTGATGTGAAATACTCTATTTTATGTGGCTGCTAATGATTTTCCTGTTTTCTTTCAGTACAATATGTTACATCAGGATGTAGAGATGTGGGAACCTTAAGCCATTTCAGTCATGGCTACAAGAGAGACTGCATTCTGTATGTATAGATACATGTATTTTGTTTATTATGGCGGAGAAAGTATTCACTGTGTTGGAATGAAATTTGGTACATACGTTTCTTAGGGTGTGGGATTGAAGTGCTTTTGAGTTACTCTAGTCAAGGTCAATGGATTGGGAATTCAGTAGGTAGAAATTATCAAGTCAACATAAAGATAAAGATCAGGTTAGTACCTTGTGTGTAGGGCTAACTGCAGGGCTACAGTAACTTTAGACTAAGGAGGCTCTGTGAAAGCCAGCACTGGTAGTTTATCTGCATTTTGGGGGGAGAGAGAGAGAGACCTGTTGGCATCCATATTATATTATCACCAATCTGCATATACAGGCATCCCTCGCCATAACGCGGGTCTTGGGGTCCATGGATGACCCCCCGCGTTATTAGACACCCGCGTTATAAGTAACGATTACATAACGCGGAACAAAGGCCAAGTAAAATCGTATTTTCCATGGACATAACAAAACTGCTATTTTGTGTATTGTGCCCAGTCAAAACTATATCGTATTGTTGGAGGTGGAAAAAACAACAACTTTGTAAATAAAAAATAGATGTATGTACATGAAACTTGCAATCAAACACCACAAGACATGATAATTCAATTGTTGTTCCTGTCATGCTACCTGTTATTCAACTAAGCCGGAAATAGCAATCAGCTGGGCACACATCGATGTTTTGGTCCAATGTACCGGTGATTCATTTAAAAACGATCCGTAAATATAACATCCACGAATTTCTATTCCATTATCAGAATAATTGATATGTCAAGCAGTTATTCTAACAGAGATCTTATATATTGCTATCGTATAAGTATAATGCATGTTTTCTACGAACATATTTAACATAATAATAAGCATTGCTAAGCACTTTGGGTTACCTGGCTGGATACATTTTACGTAGGAGACAGTTTGACAAGTCACCGCTGACTTCCCGCGGTACGTGCCACTTTGATTGTAAAAACAAAATGTTGGCAATTAATTGTCAAATATGACTTCAACGAGTCAATAACGCGGGTCTTGGGGTCAATGGATGACGAGGCTGTAATCTGTTTGTGATTGCTGAGAAAAATGTGAAATTGGTGCTATCGCGGTAGGCGCGAAAAACGGACCCTCACGAATGTGGTAAGCGGGTGTTGTATGGAATGAGGTAATGCCATTTCACTCACGGTTTCTCTGTTGTTATTGTAAACAGTTTTAATGAATGAAAATGGGATTGAATTTAATCAAATAAAATGTGTTTTCTGACATCATACATTCTCGGATGGCGGTATATACCCGCGCAATTACGCGGTGTGTTGCATCATAGCAAACGTTGTAAGTACTCGGCTGATAATCGACATGTCTTTATGATAAAGTTATTACAATGTTTCGCTGTTCATCAATTATTATTGAAAAAGACCCTGCATGTTTTTAGCATCTGAAAAAACATGGATATATACGATAAACACTGTTAATTGCAATCCGCACTGAATTTCAGTAGTTTACTACGTGATTAACCAGAGCTCAACAGCGGATTTGTTGATGTGCTATTTTCGATCACGTGAATATGTGTGATAACTGGGCAACTTTTATGAGAGCCACGGATTACCCCGCGGTTTAACCGAATCCGCGGTATCGCGAAGAGCGTTATTGCGAGGGATGACTGTAATTGTATTTCAATGGAAATGTATTGTGGAATATAACGATTCTGTCAACGTTTTGAAAATATGGTGAGCTGGCTTATTCTGTTTCTTCTTCTTCTTGCAAACATCTTTTTCTAGTGATTCTGTTTCTTCAAGTACTTGCAAACATCTTTTCTAGTTATTGAAAGTGATTGCTATTATACGATGCCATGTGGACCTGTGATGTTGTTTGGTAACTGAGATGGCTCTGGAGAGGTTGTACAACTTCAGCTTCTGTTCCATCTCACACATTGAAGAACTTGAAGCACCCATGGTGTCTGCTTAGGAAAGTGATTCATTTTGAGATATGTCGTTATTCACCCAGCAGTAAATGGGTATCTTGTAGGATGAGAAGGTAATGTGCCTGTTACCATTCTAGTGCCTCAAAGGCTGCTTGGGCTGTATTTTATCAAATGAGCTGAACAAATAGAGGGCACTCTGATTCCTTGACCTGAGTAATGAGAGTGTCAGCGCTTTGAGTATGGTTTTAAAGGATGAACTTTAGTGCAATACAAATGTCTTTTATTATCCCCCGCCGGAACAGATGATAACCCAGACACCAGTCGATTTGGGTGACCTTGACCTTATTTTCAAGGTCACCATGACACTTTGACCACTTTTCAAACTGTTGTTAATGTGATATCTCATGCACTGTTGTATCCAATATCTTCAAATTTGGTGACAGCCTATGTTAGGGATGACAAGACTTTATGGATGGTCAACTTCTTTATTTGGACAATGGTGATGTTTTGGTATAGATTCATATGCCATTTTCAAGCATATGGGTGAATGAAGGGGCACACCTAGACTGTTGGCATGTTCATGGGACACAGTATTCTAGAACACTGCCCAACACCTCACCAAAGTGTTAGCCATACTGAGCAAAACTGCTGACTCATATATTTCAGACTCTGCTGAATTTTGTCATAAACTTAAGACTGTTACAGACCCTGGTAAGATCTTAAGCTATGATGTTGTGGATTTGTTTACCAGTTTCCCCATTAATAAAACCCTGCACATCCTCCGCCACCGCATTGACAGCCGTGATACCCCCCTTGACACTAACCTCTCCACTGACACTAACCTCGGCAGCAACTACATTGGTGAAATATCCACACCACTCAACATACGCATCAAGAACATAAGACATCCACAAACAATGCAGACACCAAATCAGCCATTTCGGAACACATCACCAAATTTCCTCAACACAGCATCAACTGGGACACTGTCAAAACACTTACAAACAACAAACGTGATTACACTCAGCATAAATTGGCCGAGGCATTACAAATACACTGTTTTAACCCCTCTATTAACAGGGATCAGGGCTCTTACATCCCATCAGCTTACGACCACCTAATCCACAAATAATTATCCACTCAACCCACCCTGGCTTCTCATCACCTGCCTAACTGACATTCCTCACCACTGGCTTCCCACTAATCAATCTCCCACCACCTTGGCTTCTGCCTAATAACTTACATTCACTAATTGTCATGGTAATCCCACTCATCTCATCTATGTTAGCTTAGCGCATCATCATGCTATTGTAGCTCATCAACGTCAGTCATTTTGGTGACCTTGACCTTATCTAAGGTCACCACAAGACTTTGACCACTTTTCAAACTGTTGTTAAGGTGATATCTCATGCACTGTTGTATCCAATATCTTAAAATTTGGTGACAGCCTACAATGGGGGATTAGGCAGACACCAGTTGATCTGGGTGACCTTTACCTTATCTTCAAGGTCACCATGACACTTTGAATACTTTTCAAGCTTATTTAAACACAATATCTCATAAAACATTGCACCCAATGTTTTCCGTTATCGACAGCCTACATTGGGTGATTATGCAGACACCAGTCATTTCAGGCATCTTGTATGTGACCCCAAAATATAAACATGATAAAGTAGTAAATATAGATATTCCATACTTTAGCGGCGGGGGACATTGCCATATCAATGGCAAACACTTGTTGTTTTTATGTACAAAAGAAATATAATGGTTTGTCTAAGAGACGGAAGGGGAACTAATTACTGAATGAATATTAACTGATCAAATGTCCAAATATAATTATATACATCTTTTTCTTCAGCTCTTGAGATTATAGTCTCTGCTGTTCTTACTCATGAGGATGGTACAACAGAGGATGTTGATGACATCAAGACTCTACAAAAACAGTTCAAAGACTATCAAGTTGTGCAGAAGTTCCTTTGCAATGAAACCTACTTCCATCTGCAAGGAGTATGTACAACTAAAGATGAACTTCTGCTCAAGTGTTATGTTTTATCGGACAGTGAACTCACTGATCTGGAAGAAGCTATTGCAAGTGATCACTTGGGACAGGAACTGACTAAGTATGTTATTTCTGTTGGACTTGAAACTGAACTAGGTTTACCACATGACAGTGGTAATACACTCAGTTTGGAGTTGGAGTTGAGAAAGCAGTATATCCGACATGGAAGGGCATATTTTAAGAAGATTTCCAAGTGAGTTAATTTTCTGTCTGCTTTCTGTCTCTGTGAATGTACTTATACATATGAAAAGCCTTCAATTATTGGTAATGTTTGAGCATAATTTTGTTTGAAACCAAACAACAAAAAGAAATAATGTTTTGATGCATTTCTGCTTTACTAATTTAATATTGCTACATTTAGAGATAAAGCTGTTTATGTTTCGACTGACTGAAAGTCAAGTAGTAGGTCTTTATTCATGAAGAATGTAGGCCCATGTTCATACAAGTGGTCAGTCAGCATATAATGTATATGACAATATATATATAGAGAGAGAGAGAATAATAATTAATCAACAGGACCTGGTAATTCTGAAGCAATTTGCAGAATAAATATACATGGCCAGCTGTCTGACAGCATTAAAGGGGCACTGATCCTGAGCAATTTCCATGGACTGGTTGCTTTTGTTATTGTTTTTCTCTCGTGAGTACCCGGATGATATCCCAGAGTTCCTGACTGGTTTGTGACCTCTGCTGCACCACCAGCATGCGCAATTGATAGTATAAGTATAGAATGATCAACAAAAATGAAATCTTTTTACTCGATAATATTTCCATCTTCATTTGCATGATAACACTTCAAAATTTTGGTAAGTTTAACCATCTGCCATTGGTAAAAAATGTTAGGACTGAAAAATAACGAAGTCAATGTACTTCTTTATATTTTGACTTATAATCCTAATGAGTTTATTATCATATTTGTATGCACTTTGAAACTTAAAGATCACATATACTCTAGGGGGGTACAAATACATAAATCACTAACTGGCATCGCTATAAATGAAACCCCATCATTGAAACTACTCACTTCGATCTTTAATCGACTTAAATCAACCTTTTTGACAACAGTGCACAATTCTCACCCGCGAACGAAATTTCAACCAATCAGAGCGGGGCGTCTCTGTGACGTCATATGAGGAATAGATATGTGGGCCGATGCAGATTTCATCTACATTTCAGGGGGTAAATTATCTTGTTTACAGGTTTGTATAAACCTGAAATCGTGACAACTGTTGTGGAAAATGAAAGCTATATGTTTTCACAATCTACTGTCATATAATTTTGTCTCCTGCTTTGCCTAGTTTCCGAGTTACAACTTGTTTTCATAGACGACTCTGTCAAAATCGCTTGGTGTCGTTAGGCCTTATTTGTATAATGACTGATCCAAATTGATCTCATTTCTGTGTTTTTTTACCTCGATATTTAATCATGTCATGTAAAAATATGACGTCTATTACGTATGTTATCGCATGATATTGCAGTAAGAACCGACTTTCTTGAGAAGAGGACTACAATGAAGGAAAAACAGAGACGCAACTGTGGATTTAATGGCCGAGGGTGTGGAGGTTCTAGTGGGCTACCCCAATCTTGAAATAGAATGCTAACAATAAGCCTAAAAGATTTTAGCTATGTGGCAACTAGCGTCGCCAACATAATTGTTACTAGCCAAAGAATGCTGAGGCCCAAATGACGGAAACGTCGCAACCTGACCAACGCTGGGGGGGTCAAAATTGGGAGCGAACGCCGCCAGGCCCAGCTGTGTAATTGCTAATCTATAATTAATGCTAAGACCCCAATGACGGAAACGTCGCAACCCGACCAACGCTGGGGGTCAACAATGGGAGCGAACTCCGCCAGGCCCAGCTGTGTAATTGCTAATCTCTAATTAATGCTAAGGCCCAAATGACGGAAACGTCGCAGGTCTAATTGGGAGCGAACACCGCCAGGCCCCGATACTTAACTTAACTGTTACTAGTTAACCAGAAACCCTAATTAACACATATATATTCTTATGAGTTATGTTGAAAGGTAGCCCACAAGAACCACGCCACCTAGCACAACAGTGCTACCCCACACCATACGGCTAAGGCTGAAGATACGCGTACCCGCCATGATTGCCTCATATAAGAAATTCACTTACCTCTTTAATATGTACTTACTTGAAAATTTGTACCAAGGCATCGTTTATGTCGCTGACGAATTGATGAACCCCTTTAGTGCTAAGGTGTGTCCCATCCTACTGGAACCAGGATGGGTCCGTGGCCACTATATGTGGATGGGGGGATTGCTACAAAGTTAGGAATTTGCGTAAAATGGTTGGCTAGACGCCGGTTTAGTTTGGACATACTGCGGTCCACCTTACGTGGGTCCCGCGCATTATGCCAATAACGGCGTGGCAAGATGTTGGAATATAATATCTTGGCGTTCGGCAGGTGGACCTGTAGCCGCTTTATGGACATCTCCATATCACCCAGCAGCTGGCTCGCCTTTGTGGTGCAAAGGTCGTTGGAGCCAAGGTGAATGACTACAGCCGTGGGTGGTCGCCGCATCGCCTGGATTTGAGCATCTATCAGCTGGTCGAGTTCCGCCCAACGCAAGCCCCCCCTCGCAAGCCACAGGATCTTTCTGTGACGAGCCAACTCCATTTGATGCCTTTGGAGCTCTCGCCTGGCTCTTGCCACGAAACTTGATCCTACGATCCATACTGGAAAGAAAACGCAGTAGTAGCATCGGAAGTCATTTACAGGAGTTAGAATATCAGTGCCCTTTGGATACAAATAGGTCGTTTGAATGTATGAAGATTTAAAGAGAGTGCTTGATATTATTTGATTACATTTACAAAAAGTAACTGATATGCTAAATTATTTTGTTGGTAGCCGAATATAGGACTGATAGCATTGTGACTTCCACCTGCCGTACTGCTGGATGAGATGTGGGGGGTACCCCATTCATGGCTGCTGTAGTTGCTGCTCCAATACGGAATGAATGTGAAGAATAGTTTTCAGTATTTATGGAGCTTAGGGCCAAGGTTCTTTTTTAAGTACGGCTTGGAATTGGTACCTGGTTAGCGGAGTATGGTCGAAATGGATGAACGCTGGAGAAGGGCCTAGTGGGCGGGCCCGCAAATAGGCCTTAAGGGCTGCTATTGGGCATGTGGATTGACCAGGTGTTGCCTCAATAACTACAGAAACGCCGAACCCTCGTGGGTCACCATTTGAATGTGGGAGGTGGATAGTAACTGTCTCAGGTTGACCTGATATACTTACGTCCTGGATGGTGCAGCCAGGCTGTGATGTCTTTGTTTGAACTAGTTCACTTACCCTGAAGAAACCAAAGAAGGCCACGCAATATACTGCTTTGAAGAGGCATACTTCGTATGACGAGGTACAAACCTGCCTGAGATTGTTGTTCACTATTTTTAACAGATCCAGCGTAATAGGTTTTCTCCTGTCCTGCCGCCCACTGGACTTGTACATACCTGTTATCAGTTTATTGACAAGGAAATGCCCGGTGCAGTCCTGGAGGCCTTTGAATTTATGGTAAGAAGACACAGCTGCGATATAAGTTTTTACTGTGTTTGGTTTACTGTGAATGATTAGTGACTGACAAATGAGCAATAAAGTTTACAACCTGATCCAGAGGGACTGGCCATGTCTCCGGGAAGTCGATGTACTGCTCGAAACTGCTGCAGGGCATCGATGCCTGTCTTGTAGGTCGACCAGGTATTTGTCGATAGGGACCGACGTAGGAGCCTGTCTGCTTCTTGTTCTAGATCTGCCATATGGTGTCTGGGATTGGCGTTGGTGCAGCTTTCGCTTCTGGTGCGGCTGCCCGAAAGCGGTCGAACTGAAACCTCGAGAGTGCATCAGCTATAACATTGGAATTGGTGTCAATGTATTTAGATTTAAACAAGATGTTATGATTAAAGCAAAGAAGAATAAGGCGACGGAGGAGATTCATCACCCGGGGCGCTTTGGATGATTGCTTGTTTATGAACGCCACCACTGCCTGGTTGTCACAGTAGAAAAGGATTTTCTTGTTTGCAAGCTGAGGTCCCCATATTTTGATGGCCAAGACGATGGGAAACAGCTCCAGGAAAGTCATGTCGAGTGTGGTCCCATTCACAACCCACTGATCAGGCCATCTGCCGCAAAACCATTCCCCCCGAAGGTAGGCCCCAAAACCTGTACTGCCTGATGCATCTGTGTAGAGCTGGAGATGAGAGTTGTCTACCCACAACTGGTCCTGAAAAACTGATACACCATTAAACTTTGTGAGAAATGTTAGCCACATATGCAGGTCCTGTTTTACCCATTCAGTGATTCGAATATGGTGGAATGGTTGCTTACCTTGACAGAGAAGGTCGATGAGCCGTCGGCAAAAGGCTCTACCCATTGGATTTGCCCTACAGATAAAATTGAGCTTTCCGATGAGGGACTGTAGCTCCTTTCTTGTTACCTTGGAATTAGGTTTGGAGAGGATATGCTGTATCTGGGATGTGATTTCACGTATCTTACTGTGACAGGGTGTTTAAGGTTTATCTTTCCCTACATACTTAAGGTAATTGGGAGATTCCTTTAAGACACGTGGGCTAGTGTTTGGGGATAAAGCTATAAATACTTGTCGTCTGGGGTTAGCTTAAGGCACCTTGGGACAAGGGTCGCCCCAGCATTGGTCCAGAGTGAAAGATCTACTGATAAGAGAGAGGGAGCGAGTGTGAGAGTTTAAGGAAAAGACAGTGTGGGGGTGAGAGCAGAGAGAAAGAGAGAAAGAGAAGCTAAACTGAGTGGCTGCTCCATGTGCTTCATCACACAGAAAGTTATGGAATACAAAATGAACTGGATACTCTCTTGTGTGATATGTTGGTAGACCAACCCCACTTGGTCACATTACCTTCAGGTATTCTAACCTGCATGGCCAGCGTGTCGATTTCAAGACCCAAGAATGTTAATTGAAATGCTGGGCCAACTGTTTTGTCATGAGCAATGGGAATACCTAGATGAGTTAGCATTGCCAGTGAAGTCTGTAAGTTAGCCTGGCACTGGGTTGTGCCCTGTGATCCCCCAGTCAGAAAGTCGTCGAGGTAGTGCATGATTTGTATGCCTGGGAGGCTTTGACTTACGCACCACTGTAGGAAAGAACTGAAAGTCTCAAAGACAGCACATGATATTGAGCAGCCAAAAGGTAAGCATTTAT